GCATCGAAGCATCCAAAGGAAAGTTTGCTGATTTTGAGTGCTATCATTGTGGTAGAAAAGACCATACGATACAGTACTACAGGCAGTTAAAAAAGGAGAACAAGAAGAGCAATTACAACAATCAAAAGAACCATAAAAAAGATGAGGATGGTAACAACAATGCTGAAGTTAACACTACTACCAAAGAGTTTCGTATTTGTTGTGATCTTGATATGATCAACATTGCACTTGATGATTCGAGTTGGGTTCTTGATAGTGGCGTTACATGTCATGTAACATCAACAAGGGATTTTTATTCATTTTACACTACATGTAACTTTGGTAATATTAGGATGGGTAAAAATGGACTATCAAATATTGTAGACATCAAAGATATTTGTTTGAAATTTGACACTGAGATAGAGTTGGTTTTACATAATGTGAAACATGTTCCAGATTTGAGACTTAATTTGATCTCCGCAGGCTGACTTGATGATAATGGTTACAACAACTTTGGTAATGGAATATGGAAACTCACTTGTGGCTCTTTGATCGTGGTTAGAGGTAAAAGATGCTCAAAGTTGTACATGACACATCCAAATGTCTTCAAGGATAGGGTCAATGTTGTGGCGAATACTGACAAGACTGATTTATTGCATGCGAGATTGGTCAAATGAGTGAAAATGGGGTGTCTCTTTTGTTGAAGAGAAATGTGTTACCGGGTGTGCATGATAATCATCCAAAGAAGTGTTCTCACTCTTTGGCAGGTAAACAGAACATAATTTACTTTAAGAGCCATCCTCCTTCCAGGAAGGAGAATATACTTGATCTAGTGCACTCCGATGTTTGTGGTCATATGAAAACTAGGACACTTGGTGGTTGCTCCTACTTTGTCACAGTCATTGGTGATCACTCTAGAAAAGTATGGGTTTATACCTTGAAATCTAGAGATCAAGTATTTGAAGTGTTTAAACAATTTCATGTCTTGATTGAGAGACAGACTGTAAAGAGGCTCAAGTGTATTCAGATAGATAATGGAGGTGAATACATTGGCCACTTTGATGCTTATTGTAGACACCATGGTATTCGACATCAAAAGCGTCCTCCCAAGACACCACAATTGAACGAAATAGCAGAGCGGATGAACAGAACTTTGATGGAGCGTGTCAGATGTTTGTAGTCACAAGCAGGGCTGCCAAGTTCATTCTGGGGATAAACTTTGAATACAATAGTACATGTTATTAATCTAACTCCTTGTGTTCCTTTGTCTTTTGATGTACCTGACGGGGTGTGGAGTGGCAAAAATGTTTCTTACCGCCACTTAAGGGTTTCTTGATGCAAAGCTTTTGTGCACATTCCTAAACATGAAAGATCAAAGTTTGATGTGAAGTAAAAACCATGTGTTTTTTTGGGTTATGACCAAGATGAGTTTGGCTACAAGTTATATGATCCAGTCCGCAAGAAACTCATTCAAAGTCGGGATGTTGTATTTGTGGAAGATCAGACCATGAAAGATGTTGAGAAGAAAGAGTCAGCTCCTTAACATAATGATGATGTTACTGATTAGGATCCAGTGCCTCCTCATCATGTAGAGCCACCGCATTCCGATGATGTTCAGAATGATGAACAACATGATACTGATGGTATTGATGCTCCAGAATAACCAGAGGTGGATGAAAACTTTCATTTAGAGTTAACGATACCAGATGTACCACCATTTGTCCCACTTAAGGGGTGTACAAGAGATCATCATCCTTCCACTCGTTTTTTCAGCTAATGAGTATGTGTTACTCACTGATGGGGGAGAACCTGGGTGTTATGCAGAGGCCATGGAAGATGAACACAAAGGGGAGTGGGTTGAAGCCATGCAAGATGAGATGAATTCCTTACATGAGAATAATACTTTTGAGTTGGTGAAGTTGCCTAAAGGCAAGAGATCTTTGAATAACAAGTGGGTCTACAAAGTGAAGATTGAAGAGCACACCTCACAACCTAGGTACAAGGCTAAATTGGTGGTTAAAGGCTCCAATCAAAGAAAAGGTATTGATTTTGATGAGATTTTTTCTCTGGTCGTGAAGATGAGATCTATTCGTGTTGCTCTTGGTTTGGCAGTCAGCCTTGATCTTGAGGTTGAACACATGGATGTCAAAACAACATTTCTTCCTGGTGACTTGGATAAAGAAATATACATGGAGCAACCTGAAGGTTTTCAGATTAAGGGAAAAGAAGGCTATGTGTGTAGACTTCAAAAGAGTTTTTATGAGTTGAAGCAAGCACCAAGACAGTGATACAAGAAGTTTGAGTCAGTTATGGGGGGAGCAAAATTACCAAAAGACTACTTCAGACCATTGTACTTTCTTCCAGAGGTTTGGTGATGACGATTTCATCATTTTTTTTTTCATTAATGTTTTTTTTTTATTGATTAATGAAGGAAAATGAGTACATAAAAAGTTGAAAAAGGAGAAAGATAAAAAAGAAACAAAGAAACAAAGAAAGCCCAACCCTAAGTACACATGGTCACCCCTCCCTAGCAAGACAAGTTCCATAAAGTAATCATAAATCCACACGAGATTGAGATCTCGTTCTCATTCGATGGGATCTCTGGTGATTTTTTCTGTAAATTTTCATTTGCGTGTTCAGATTCTGAGTAGGCAAACAATTTTCCCTCGTGACTAGGCAAGCCTTATTACAAATGTCTTCATTTGTATCCGAATCCCATAAATCCTCGACCGCTGAGATAGGAGTTCTTTTCTCACTCTCTGAAGCATGTCCGAGAAATTCATCTCCTGAGTAGTCTAATAACTTTTCGGAAAAAATATCCTCACAAAACAACCCTATAGAGTCATGATTATCTATAATAGCATCTGCTGAAAGTCTTACCTCGGGTTGCTTAGTCAATCTCTTATCTTCTCGGTTTTCCAAACAGGTGGCAACAATACGTTCAATTTCTTTGATAAGAAAATGAGAGAGTGTTTCAACCCCATTAGTCATAGTAACCTCAAAGAGATCATTAATTGTTGCAAGATCTATGCACTTTGAACCGCTGAGATGATCAACTGTATCCAAAATTGGGGGTTTCTCAAAGGAGCCTGAGTGTTCGATATCAACTTGGAACAATGTGCCTGAAATAGAGACTTCATTCTGGCTGGGATAGTCCCCACTCAAATGAGAAGGAAAGTCCATCCAATCAGAACAAGGTTGATGACATGTTAATTGTTGACAAGAATGCAGAAAGAATTACTGAGTTGAAGATGCAATTGAGCAAGTATTTTGTTATGAAAGACTTGGGTCAAACAAAACAAATTATTGGCATTCGGATCACTCGAGATAAAGTTTTGGAGAAGCTACACATGTCACAGGAGCAATACATCGAGTAGGTGCTTCGTAAATTCAATATGGATAAAGCTAAAGAGGTCAGTTCACCTCTTACTACCAATTTCAGGTTGACAAGAAAGACTGCCCCTCTTCTGAGAAGGAGATTAAAGAGGTGGATAGAATCCCTTATGCCTCAGCTCTATGGAGCTTAATGTATGATATGGTGTGCGCACGACCTGATCAATTTTGCCCATGCAGTAGGTGTTGTTAGTCGTTTTATGTCAAATCCGGGTAAGAAGCATTGGGAAGCAGTGAAGTGGATTCTCAGATATCTACGTGGTACTTCTAAATTGGGTATAACATTTGGAAATAGAAAACCGATACTTGTTGGTTGTACTAATCTGATATGGCAGGAAATAAGGACAACATGAAATCCACTTCTGGATATTTGATTACTTTTGTAGGGGGGCTGTGTCATGGCAATCGAGATTGCAAAAGTGTATGGTTTTATCTGCCATTGAGGCTGAGTTTGTGGTTGCAACAGAAGCGTGCAAGAAGCTATTATGGCTCAAAAGGGTTATGCAAGAGATTGGTTTATGCAACCGCGGTACATGGTTCTTTGTGATAATCAAAGTACTATTCACCTTGCTAAAAATTCTACGTTTCACAAACAAACCAAGCATATTAATGCGAGGTATCATTAAATTAGAGATTCACTTGAAGACAAACTATTTGAACTTGATAAAGTTCATACCGATGATAATGGTGCCAATATGTTGACAAAGGTTCTAGCAAGAGAAACGTTGAAGGTGTTGCTCCATCGCCGGTATGACGAACTTTTCCTCACAAGTCAAAAAGGTGGAGATTTGTTAGGGGTTTCTTTGTTTCTGGCCCATGAGGAAAGCCCAACTGTTGAGCCCATTAAAGTCTTATTTAGAATTTCTATTTTGGGAGCTTCTAATTAAAAGAGGGTCAGTCGGTATCTCAAACATAAGGACATAAAGAGAGCAACAGATGGAGAGAGCAAAAAGTCACAAAACATGAGCTGAATGCTCACCCGTTTTCAGCAGACGGCAACAGAAAACTTCCATTACTTGAAGATTGAACCGTCAGATCGTCGTGATTGTTGCACAAAATCTACACAACATCTAGGCCAACATTCTGGACGGTGGAGATCGAGTTTTGAGGTACGGAGGTAGGTTTCGATGGTCTGGACAATAGCTAGTTTTCTGGTGATATTTTTCTTATACTGGCTCTATTTTGATTCCATACACCTTGATGTGCTTACTTCCAAGGATATGATGATTTTGTATGTCTCTAATATTATCTATAGAAGACTTTTTATTGCTCCTTTGATTGGTGATAGTGGATTTAAGTGGCCAAAATGGTCTCATGGTTTTTCCCTAGTTTATGGGCTTTGCACACTAAAATTTCGGTGTCTTTGTGTTGTTGTGTGGTTACCGTTTTAGCTCAATATCTTGGTGCATAGCAATGATATTGTGTGTGTTCTAGTTGAATTAAGAACACCATATTTATTTGCATCCTCAAAGGTTCATTCAAGTTCGGAAAATTTAGCCAAATGAAGATTACTTCTTCATTTACTATCGTATTAGTTATCGTTTGTGGCTGTTTCCCCCATCAATTTGCACGTTGTGAGCTTGAGAAGTTGTGTGTGAAATGCATTTCCTTTTTCCTTTTTAGTTGGTTCTTGACGGAGTTGGCGCACTACTCCCTCCACATTTACTCCCTCCACGTTGTGAGAACTTTACATTGAATTGGTTCTTCGAAGTGCATAGAGAGAATACATTGAACTACTAGATCAGAGGTGCAGAAAAATAAGTTTTCTCAATCCAACATAAAACCAAAAGAATACCATAATCCCCAATTCCCCATGTATCTGATATTAACAAAAGAGCTTCTTCTAAGAGTTGTGATTCCACCACCTTCCGAGTGCTTCTCCCATCCGTATCCTTTCCCCTCTCTTGACACAAAATCTGAAGTCGGATGGTGATGAGGTTGGGGCTTGGAAAACCAGAACCACCGTGGAGCCCATATTGAAGGCACCTAGCTGCAAGTTTTTGAAGGTGCAAATGTGTGTTTCAGTGTTTGCCTCAGGACATGCATGCTTCAATATGAAATACGGAGTATATAAAAAAAGTGCTCAGGACAAATTTTCACGCATGGCGGAATGCACCAGCTACAAGACATGTTAAACTCGATCTAATAAAAGGGAAACCCAGTGCAAAAGGGTCTAGGACTCTAGGCAAAGGTCCCACCACAATGGTTGTATAATGGGCAAGTTTCAACTGCCCAGCACTTTAAAAAAATTCGAAACATAGTTGCTGTCAACTAAATACATTATCGAATCTGACTCTTGACACCCAAAGTTTCAGATCTACTATATAAGCCATAAATCTGATTTAATTTACAAATTTATTCCATGATTTTTTATTCTCAAGTAGACGATTTTTCACAAGCATTGATGGGTCAATATTTTTTCAAAACTAATTTCAATTTGAATAAGAAGTAATTAATTTTGAATGTGCCCAAATTGAATGTAACCCGGCTGATTCACCCGAACCAAAATGCACCCTATGTTTTTAATGTCTGGTTTTGGGTCTCAAAAGTTAGCACCCAGGTTCCAAGTCATATCTCAGGTCAAACCTGAACCCCTGCCCAACCTACTTTCCAGGTTGTACCTCATCACCTTTCTTCAGCCAAATGCCAGTGCTATCATGTTTATAAACCTTTTCTTCTGGAGGTTCTATATGTAGCATCTTCTTCTGGGGCTTGTTTGTTCGGAGTGTTGGGTCGAAGAAAAGCTGAACACCAAATTACAACAAGGTAAAAGTTAGTTACAAGTTCACAGCACATCATCATGTAAAAAGGCTGTGGTTCACAAACCAATAGAAGTTTTAGGCTTAAATAACCTCGATTGAACCAATATTTGTAGCGCCAATTGCTGCCATTGCCATAAAGCCTTCTTTCCATTGTCCTTCCAACACAACCTGATTGTTTTATTTTAAAACAAAAAGAACATATTGGTATGCCAAAGTAGAAGAGTGATAATGTGGTGCATTATACGCTAGTACTCATCAATCACGTGGCAGTAAGTAATAATGTATTTAATACCGAAAATAGGTTTTACATATTCATCAATGTCAAATTTGTGCACAGAGCTTAGGATTTTAATCTTTGAAAAGGTATGACGTTTAGAGGGGGAAAGGAAGCAACGATTAGTTTATAGATTGTGACAATGAAGGTGCTTTATATGGTGGATATTTTCCTTGTGACTAAACATGGCTTTAGAGTTTAGACATGTTGGAATGTCAATATGGGAAATATTCACTTTGAGCTGCACTTTTTTAAGAGCCTGTTTGCTACTATGAAAATGCCAGTGAAAGACAATAGAGGAAAGTATAAGCATAATTTGGAAGTAAAATGTGATGGAAAATGAAGCATTTGTTCAAACTCATATTATTAATGTCTTTCTATTATATAAAGATTAAGAAATAAAAGAATGTGTACAATTTTCTTCTTCATCATCATCATCATCATTAATCCAGTGCTGCAAAGGCTCCCACCTATGGTGGGGTAAGGGGGCGTCGGATGTACGCAGCCTTATCCCTGTACTAGATCACACAGAGACTGTTTCCGCCCCCCGGATGACTCATGGTAAAAATTGCGTCAAAAATTGCACGGAGTGACTGCTTTGCTTCATAACAAAGAAGCGCAGCCAATTTTGTGTCATTTTTTCTTTATTCCATCATATTCTCAAGCCAAAAAATAGTGGATCTTTGGCTCCATTGCAAATGATGGAAACCATGCGTACAATTTTGATAGATTAATTATATTTCATTATCATATGCAATTTCCGAGGTAAACCAAACACAATGAAGTGACTGTCCTTAGAATATTTTCCTCTTTCCCTAGCATTTTCCGTGATCCAAACATATATCCTTAAAGAAAATGTCACGAGAGAAAATAATAAATCAGGAACCAAGACTATCAATGACAAGGGTTATTCTTACTCTTTCATTCTCAACATAAAGATTCCTGATTGTTCTTGTAGCACGTTCATTTACGGTAAAAAGACGACCTGCAATGCAAACAAGAAAGACTACAGGCGTTGCATAAAAAACAAAAAACCAGAATATAATAATTATAACCTTATCCTCAAGGCCAAAAAATTAAATACTTCACAAAGAGGCTTCAAGGAACCTTTTCCTCCATATGCTTTTTCCATGTGCACACTTACCAGAGAAATGTCGACGAAGGATTACATTCCAATCAGTTGGTGAGTGTATGCGATGATAATCACCAGGCCTTAAGTAAATAACACAGTAAAACAGACCCTTCATTGGGCTGCAATAAATTTTCCGAAAAGGTTAAAGTTACCATACTGCATTTGAGCATTTCCTCAGCAAAAAATGACCATCTCAGCCCTTCTCCCAGAGGTTTTCTCAAATACAATAACAAAATGAAGCCACAAATCTTGCATGCCACTGTTGTAAAAAACACTGTTCCCTAGCACATAGCTGGGGACTAATCGGGGTTTGGGGGTTTGGAGGGCTTAATCTACTACTCCCTCCGTCCCATTGGACTTTGCCAACTTTCCGTTTTTGCTTGTCTAAAAAAACTTTGCCACTTTCCTATTAAAGCAACTAATTTGTGGTTTTGTTGTTCTTATTTCTCACCTACTTTGAACTTGGCAAAGTCCACTGGGACGGAGGTAGTATATCTTAACAAATAGTGTTTCTAAAAGCAAATAAAGAGTGATGGAATGCTACTAGTATGAAAACATAATATGTTAATCTTTCATTTTTTCAAAATGTCAAATCACAATTATAAACCATGTCTAATCATGATGAGTAGAATGATTATCATGAGATCACACATTCTGTTGAATTTCGAATTTTATAAAATCTCAAAACACACCCCACTATAAACTGAACATTCATAATCCCCCCACCCCGCCTTTTATCTAAACACACCATAAGGGTCTATTTGGATAGTGGGTTTTAAAGAGGTTTAGAGAGAAGCCTTTGTAGGGTTTAGCCTGTCTGCCTGTCTCTAAAAAAAATATAAAAAGGGGATTAAAATATTATACAATGTGATATTCTGTGTCTTTCAAAATCTCAAATATACATCAACATATAAACTGAGCCCTAGAAAGGGCACCATGGAATTTTACAACGATGTCTATGCAATATTCTCACATGGAATTAGCACCTAAATAGAAAAAGCATATATAGTGTTTCTAAGGGAATACCAATACATACGAATGTGGTTACCATGCTGGGGCAGGATTTCTGACACTCGGAGAAGCCAAAGAAACCCTCCACCATGACTTTTTAGTTACGTCTATGTCAGAATTTTCTTTCCACCCTATCTTTTTCCCATGATCATCTGCACCGGTTTCAGTCATGGACATGAAGGAGGTTCCACCAAGAAGTGAAGGAACAGAGTAAGAAAACCCTTTCACTTGTTCAATCATACCCCCTGCTTCTTTCAACTCCCCAAATCTCAGAATGGTTCCATCTACTGGGCTAACCTGTTTGACGTAAAACAGAGTATATATTCTAAACATACGTGATACATTAACTTATACGAGTACTAGTTAGGTGTAAATCTACAGCTCATTTGGTAAGGCTGAATCTGTCTAAAGTTGCTGAATTACGGGAAAAAAACATTTCTAATTTTATGATAAAATTAATGAAACAAAGTAAATGGAAAAAAGAGGTTGAAATAATCATCTTTGACGACTTCATACAAATAAGTAAACGAACACCCCTATACTCATAATTAAATAATTCAGCATGGGCAGTCAAATAAACTAGTTTTTAGTATGAAATCTGATTGATAAGCCATAAAATGGCTAAATAAACTATAAAAGACCATAAAGTTGGTGGCAAGTTACCAGACAATGTGGGTCAGAATCAATAGGCCTGGAACCATCTTTCAAAGTACGGACAAAGAACTCCCTCAACGATGCATATTCTTCTAAAGGCAAAGCCACTTCTTGTAAGTCTGATCTCAGACAAATATTTCTATTACAGAGTTAGCCCAAATAACTCAGAAATGTATATATTAGGAGTATTAATTAGCAGATGGTGAAATGGCATACTTGAATGAAAAGCTCGAGCCCATGCTTTGTATGCATAAGGACGCACCCAAACTGGAAGTTCCTGTTTGAAGATTGAATAGGAAGCAGTGAAAAGCATGCCAGTGACTTATTATACTCAGTCAAATGCGATATTACTCACCACACTGGTTAAGAACCCCCAGAACCTGGAAATGGAGCGCAATGGTAGCATTCTCATGCAGGATGCCTGTCATTAAGATACTCAGTATTCCCAGAAATTAAGAACATGAATACATGATAATAGAAAATGAAATATGTGGTTTAAAACTTGAAATAATTAGCCATTTATGTTCAGAGAACGTATAATTTATTACTTTCACATCAGATTGGAATTCCATCTCAATTCCTTTCTCTCTAATTTCTTCAATCTGCAATACAGATGCAGGAGATTCAAAAGACAGTGAGCACCACATTTTTTGCAAGTTCCAAATTCAGAATTTCAGATTCACCCCATAGTCATGACCAGAAATTCCTCAAGACTGCAGATTTTAGAGATAATAAGGGCTGGATAGGTTTCACTAGCTGCAATGGATAAACCCATTTATAAAAAAAAAACAAAAAAAACCTTGTTATCATCATAGAGACGGCGAACATGAAGAGCACCTAGCATGACAATGGTTGCCACAGTTGCCCCAGGCAAATAGAAGTTCCTACCTGCAAACAGATTGACTTCAAAATCAAATAGTACAACATACTCATTTGACACTATAAAAGAAATGGATTGGTAGCTTGTATCGTGATAGCTGGTACCGGCACTTCCGCCATTGACGGAAGATCGAGCTTCTGGGGTTTGTATCTTTCGAAGGAAGCTGGTGAAGCTGAGACGTTGTTTGAGGAAATTGTTGATGCGGGCGGTGTGAGTGATGAGAGGAACCCAGTAAGAAGGCTTAAACCTCATCTTCTTCGAAATCTACTGCAGATTAATAGACAGAGCAATGGTTCATGTTTTCCTTCATGTTTTTGTTTTCCAGTTTATACCAAACTAGTGTAGTACCCTTGGGATGCACAGGAAAATATATTTGGTATGGAAGAGTAATTTTTTTTTTTTAAATAATAAGAAATTGCTTGTTCGTATAAATTTTTACAAATTTCAAAATACTTTCTTAAATGCAACATTGCTTGTTACATTAGTAATTTGCCAATTACCATTAATAAAAATGTTTTTCATATTTTGGGTACTACTAACATTTACACATTATTCAATTTAGTACACTATCACCACTCAAAAATATGAAGTTCAAAAAAACTATCTATTATTAAAAGCTTCTTAATAATTTATTTTATGTATACAGTACACGATTCATGATAACACTTCTGTGTAGTGTAAGTGTAGATTGTAGCATTGTAACACACCATTTGCTTACAAAAAAATCCTTTTTGGCACTTGCTTGCCCGCTTCATACATACATAAGTAATAGCTTGTGTTTTTTTCGCCCCATAATTTACATTCTAATGCAAGCCAATTATTTAACTTTCCCGCACAAGCATAGGATTTCAAATCCAAAATGATCTCACTAATTAAGTCTATTTCTATTAATTTAAGTAGATATATAGAGAGAGTATTAGAAGTCTATGTGCATGTTTGGTAGGCATAACTTTCTACCTTCTAACTTATGCATTATTTAAAAGTCTCTAAAATTTTTTATATGTATGGTTGGCATGATAACTTTTAAAAGCTTTTAAAAAACAAAAAGGTCTTTTTTGATATGCTATAGTGGTATCTAAAAAAAGTCAGTAACTTTTAGTACTCCGTATTAATTAGTCTTAACAAATTGTATATCAAATTAAACTAAATCAAACAGTTAATTTTTTATCAAACGACTATCACCTTTTAAGCTAGATGTGTCAAACATACTATGATACTATCTACATATGGGGTAGAGCGGAGTAATATGTCTGGACAACACATGTAATATTACTATACTCCCGCTCTTGAATTTCTCATCCACCAATTTTTATTTTTTAAAAAAGGATGACACCCCATCCCTAAGGGCCCCTCAACACCGATCGGACGGCACAATGAGAGGATGTAAATTGGACTATAATCACAATCTGACAGATAGAGAGTGAGGCTCTGTCCCCGGTACTTGCAGACGCTTTATGCATTTTTAACATAGTAACCTCTCATCGCAGTTGCCGGATTCGAACCCGGGACCTAACCCTTGTGACAATCCCTCGCAACTAGTTGAGTTACGCCCACCGGTTCATCCACCAATTTTTTAATCAGACCTTTAGGTGAACACTTATTAAAGTGGTTGTGTTTTATAGACCAATTACGTAGTGTTATCTTGGAAATTCAAAAGTCATTATAACTTCCATTAAGTTTTAGGATTTAATTGCAACCATTTTCCCGTAATGTTCAATTAACAATGGTTCTCTAAATATATGAATTTCAAAAGTTACCAAACTTTATTAAATTAGTTTTAGAATTTAAATTAAACGTGTTTTTCTCCTAATATTCAATCAATCTATCCGACATCTTTTTAAAAAGTAGATAATTAGACCGTCATCAAGGAATTTATAACTCATCGGCCTTTGATTCTACGATTTTAAAGTCAAACATAATGCTCTAGAAAAGTACAGTAATAAATAAAATAGAAAGAATGGCATAGATATTACTTGTGAAGTTTCAAAAGAAAAAAATATGACCATTTTAGAATTTCACAAAAAAGTGACCCGTTTCTTTTCTCCCTTTGTTTTAACGCTACACTCTTCAAACGCGACCGACTTTTTCTCTGTTCTTCGCTCGTCCATGCGTTTCACCTTCATCATCTCTACGCAAAGCTGATCTGATATTCGATTCTACGCAAGAAGAAACAATCATTTGTGAGCCGCATCATCTTTCCCTTGGATCAGCAGTCAAACTCATCGCCATTGCCGCCAGTCATCTTTGAAGTGCCGCTGCCCGCCAGACTTCTCCGGTCGTCACTGCATCGCCGTCGCGCTACGGTCGCTGCTGCACCCGCACTGGCTTACAATTCGGCTTTCGTCACAGTTAATCACGATCTTCACACTACTTTTCCGTCTTTCTTCATCTCGTTCAATGATGGTGAGGAGATGGTGTATTTTCAATTGTAGATCTAGGATTGGGATGAGATCTGGGAAGCTTGGAGGAGGGTTTTGAGTGTGCAACTGTGCAAGGATGGGGGAGGACGGGTAAGAGAGGCGAGGCGGGTTGAGGGTGGGGCAGGTTGTTGTGTGCTGGTCAGTCATCTGGGTGGTGGTGGTTGTCGGAGGCTCTCACAGTAGAGGGTTGGGCGAGGGTGGCTGGGGACATGATAGTGGGTGGCTGGGGGCAGGGCAGGGGGTGGGGACTGGTGTTTGGGTGGCTGTGATGTGGGGAGGGGGAAGGGGATTGGGCAGTTGGGTGGTGTACTAGGAGACGGCGGTGAGGTGGCAGGCGATAGTGTTGTCGGGCGGTGGGCGGCAGTGACATAGGTGGTGTCTATAGTGACACAGGTGGGGCTACAGTGACATGGGCGGCAGCTACAGTGGCACGCGCGGTGGCCACAGTGACACGGGCGGTAGCCGCAGTGACACGGGCGGTGGCCGCAGTGACACGGGCGGTGGCCGCAGTGACACGGGCGGTGTCCACAGTGACACGGGCGGTGTCTACAGTGACACGGGCGGTGTCTATAGTGACACAGGCGGTGGTTGTAGTGAAATCATGTTTTCTAATTCTACATATATGACCTTCTTGATCACTTTTTTGTCTCTTTTTAAAAGTTGTCATTTTTTGGGTAATTGGTTCAAAATTAGTAATATTCAAATAAAAAACCCTAATAAATAGCACAAATAAATAGAAGATACACTTCAGACAATCAGACCTTAAACACATACGGAGTACTTCGCAGTCAAATACATAAATTATTTTCCCTTTTTCTTTTATGAATCTATATATTACGAAAATCTAATATTACGAATATTTATGAAGTGGCAACATATATAATTGTGGGTATTATAAACGTGTTTAGAGTTGTGATAGTTTTTCAAACCTGGATATTATCTTCAAAAAAGCGTTTTATTTAAATAATATATACGTATAATATATATACATGGCATCGTACACATTATATATAAATAATATAAAACGATATAGAGCATCTTCAATGGTACAATGTGTACGGTGCACACGTGGCATGAAAGATGACTACATAAATATTAGTAAATAAATTATTTCTCTCCTTATTTGAATGATTTTATACAGTTTTGGTAAGTTTTTCTCCACAATGTCAAAGAGACCGTCTAATGTTGACATTGTTGTTGACATTGCAGGGAAAAACTTACCAAAATTGCATAAAGTCATTCAAATAAGGAGAGAAATAATTTATTTGCTAATAATTATGTGGCTATCACTCATGCCACATGTGCACCGTGGACATTATAGCATTGGAGATGCTCTAAAGTTCAACTAATTCATGTAAATGATTATACTAATGATTTTATATATCGTTTTATTATATCACATACTACGTACTTAATACGAAGTACTATATGTAATAATTATTATTTGTGAAAAGTCTAAAATAAAGCATTTTATTTTGAAAAAAAAAGTTCTACGGGAACATAATTAAAACTTATCTCTTCAATTATCGTTTTAATGAAGACTAAACTTCATTTAAAGAATTTAAACAATTCCTCCCAAAAAATATACATGTGTTTTTTGGAAATGTTGTTTCATTTATGAGAAATTAAAAAGCCAATACAAAAATTGTACATTCTTTTAAAAAGTGATGGTTCCTTTGCATCTCTATCACAAACAATATATAAATATATACATACAATACCATCCAATCATCAATTGAAAACAAATTTATGTGTGTTAAACATAACATATCTCATATAGGAGAAACATAACATAGCATAAGTGAATATGAGAGCACGGAGGAGATGATAATTGCAGAAATGAACATCCTTTAATTAGGAGTGACTAATCAAGAATCCAAACGGGAAAAGGCCAACTTCGATTATATTGGGGAATAACTAATCTGGTTGGACATTCAGAACATCCTCGCAATCCTTTTGGGCAGCTTTCACTTTCAGCCATTTCTTTCCCAACGAACAACACACCTTTCAACAGGATCGCAATAGCCAAGTCGACTTCACCGTCCTGACTTGTCGCGATCCTCAGCGCCTCCACCCTCTCAGTTTTGGTAAGTTACTTGTATACAGAGTATACATGCATGTATATATATACACTCATATACATACACATTTAATACGGAGTAAATCAAAATCATCCTTTTTACATATCTTAAAAGCTTATAATGGTCAATGAGGGTTAAGGCATTTTAAGGATGAAAAAAATGTTGGTGTAATCATTTAGCTTTATGAGGTTGTACACTGTGTTTTCTCTCGTGTACTCTTTGAAAGGAATTTATTTTGCCGTTAGTTTCCGTTCATCACTCTGTCTCTTCCAGCATCCGTTGTATCCACTTGCTTCTATTTTTTCGACTCTCTGCGGCCCCTAAGGCCGTAACCCTAAAAATGGCAGCAGCTTCAAATTATGCGTCACTTTCAGCCTCACAACAGCTCAATCCTTCAATCCTAACCACACCTCTCACGTTGGTATTCATTTATTCTTTACCTTATTATCATGACGATGAATGGAGACGAAGAAGATTATCATTGTTGTTATTGTTATTGTTATTGTTATTGTTATTGTTATTGTTATTGTTATTGTTATTGTTATTGTTATTGTTATTGTTATTGTTATTGTTATTGTTATTGTTATTGTTGTTATTATTATTGTTGTTGTTGTTATTGTTATTATTATTATTGTTGTTGTTGTTGTTATTGTTATTATTATTCTTACTATTATTCTTACTATTATTCATATGTTTGTGTTGTGCTTTTTTCCTTACCTGAATTCCGCCTTTAAGCAAGTGGAAGATGATAGTTGCGTGTATTTTGTAGAAGAAGAGCGTCCTTCGATCAATTTCAATTAGAGACATGGCCCCTGCCAGGAAGAGATCAGATAGGAAGCTCTGGTATTTTAATTTCATCTA